AAATGTTCTACACAATTTTGGCCAAGATAATTCAATCTTTCTTGTAATGCACACACTTTGTCAGGAAATTAGGTAAGGCAGAAGAGCAGTCACTGACAGGCATAGTAAGGAAAGCACGAGATAATGATTCATGATATAAACAAATTAAGACATATTATCCAACACTATATCTGTGATTGCTCTGTAATAAATGATTTCACAACAACTGGTATGAGATACTTTGATACTTCGAGCTTTGTAACTACTTCAGACACTCACGAATATTGGAGGACTGTTGATTGTGTAACTTGAGGAAACAACACCCAAGCCTTCACGCCTCGCCATCAACAGTGACGCCTCGCTGTCAACAGTGACGCCTCGCCGTCAACAGTCACGCCTCGCCGTCAACAGTCACGCCTCGCCGTCAACAGTCACGCCTCGCCGTCAACAGTCACGCCTCGCCGTCAACAGTCACGCCTCGCCGTCAACAGTCACGCCTCGCCGTCAACAGTCACGCCTCGCCGTCAACAGTCACGCCTCGCCGTCAACAGTCACGCCTCGCCGTCAACAGTCACGCCTCGCCGTCAACAGTCACGCCTCGCCGTCAACAGTCACGCCTCGCCGTCAACAGTCACGCCTCGCCGTCAACAGTGACGCCTCGCCGTCAACAGTGACGCCTCGCCGTCAACAGTGACGCCTCGCCGTCAACAGTGACACCTCGCCGTGACCAGTCTCCCTACATCACCACTCTTGCCGTCATCCAAGGAGAAAACCTTCACACACACACACACACACACACGCACACACGCACACACGCACGCACGCACGCGCGCACGCACGCACGCACGCACGCACGCACGCACGCACGCACGCACGCGCGCACGCACACACACACACACACACACACACACACACACACACACACACACACACACACACACACACACTGCACTTGCCTTAAAGGAATAATCATCATCACTGACCACCATGTGCTCACATCAAGTCTAACTCTATCAATATTAGGACTACCTTTGAAGTCTGTACTTTTGAAATTAAAAAACTGGACACCACAAAAGTCAGACCCTTTATATTATTATATAAATATATATATATTATATACTGCCCGAAACGCTGCGCGTACTAGTGGCTTCACAAAAGTGTAAATACTATACTATACTATGTATTCTCACAAACCCAATGTACCTTCTTGTATTTAAATAAATAAATAAATAAATAAATTATGCAGCTATATCGTGGAGCTGCTCCCACCCCGTTAATACCAGGCTGGTACGAGAGTTTTAGGGAGTAATATGCAAGCGAAGATTAATGAAACTTAAGTTCACGTCACTGAAGGCAACAGCTGGAGTGACATCATCACAACTTAAATACTCTGTGGAATCGACACAGCAAAATAAAAGTGGATTTGGCGCCCCCAGGACCAATAAAGGGGGGGGGGGGTACCTCAGCAACCCCAGGACCAATAAAGGGGGGGGGGGGTACCTCAGCAACCCCAGGACCAATAAAGGGGGGGGGGACCTCAGCAACCCCAGGACCAATAAAGGGGGGAGGGGACCTCAGCAACCCAGGACCAATAAAGGGGGGGGGAACTCACCAACCCCAGGACCAATAAAGGGGGGGGGGGACCTCAGCAACCCCAGAACCAATAAAGGGGGGGGACCTCAGCAACCCCAGGACCAATAAAGGGGGGGGGGGGAACTCAGCAACCCCAGGACCAATAAAGGGGGGGGGGACCTCAGCAACCCCAGGACCAATAAAGGGGGGGGAACTCAGCAACCCCAGGACCAATAAAGGGGGGGGACCTCAGCAACCCCAGGACCAATAAAGGCAGGACCTCGATGCCAAGAATGAATAAAGATGGGGCCTCAGTGCCCCAGAACCAATAAAAGGGGGACCTCGGTGCCCCCAGGACCAATACAGGTGGATTTCGGCACCCCCCAAGGACCAATAAAGAGGGAAACCTCAGCACCACCAATATTAGAAATTCCGACACTAGAATACTAACATTATTCATAAAAGGATTAAATCAAATAGGAAATCCATAATGTCATAAGAATATATTAATTTAACACAACATGTCTCCTTTAAACAACAGTCTAGGCATTAGAATGAATAAAAAGTGGTAAATATACAGTCCACTTTGAAGTAATAACAAGAAAAGTAAAATTCAATAAATCAAGAATTAAAAACAAATAAATACCTGCTAGGAAAATATCCCACATGTTTTGGTCCTTCGAACCAGATCCTGATTAGGATCAGTAATTACATAACCAGTGCAATTAACATATATAAATGATGAAATATAGCAGTAAAAGTACATTGATATAATTCACACTAACCTCATACAGTCAACCTCAACGAGCAGTACACAGAACTTATTGCAAACAACAATTACCATCATTGTTCCAAGGAATGAACCAAAGAACAAAAAATATATGCTAATAAATAACAATATTTGAAACTAATGCTGCTACCATACTATAAACAGCAGCTCTTAGTCTCATAATAAATGAATTAATACCATTAATAACACAAGAGGTTGATAAGAGGCTTTTATCCATAAATGTGTATATACTCTCTTGAGTTTGGAGAGAAACATTTAACATATAAATCATAAACTCTCATAAAAATAATTTGTGTGTATGATTATACATATAATTTTTATATGCTAACCTCCTAGGAGATAGGATTTAAGCTTAGTGACAGTGAATTTAACACTAGGCTACTAGCAACAGTCCTTGTTCAGCATTTATGAACACCCATAGTACAAGCTCAACATGGCTTAAACAAACAACCAATCTGAAAAGGACCCTCGCACATCTTAAAGACCACCTAACTAGGCAGATTAATAAATGCAAAGATCTGTCACAACACTCTCCTGTTGATTATAATGAACTGGAAAGCTACTATCAAGCAGCAGCAAGCAAATTTGAGCAAGTCAAATAGAGAAATATTTGGCTGAACTTGCCAATACATTACTAGAAAAAGAATTAGACGATGTTATGGTTAATCTGGCAGATTATGAGGATGTCACCCAGGCCAGGTTACAGTCTTTCATCGAAATAATTGCCCATTGTAAGGCAACAACAACAACAACAGCTTCCCCTAACCTAACCCAGCCAGAAGTTAAACTGTCTTCAATCAGTTTACCCACATTCTCTGGTACTGAGGATGAAAGTTGGGATAACTTCTGAAACAAATTTGTTGATTCAGTGGACTCTAAACCCACTACCCCAAAAACCACCAAATTTACATACTTACAAGCTCAACTTAGGGGAGAAGCTTTAAAGGTGGTATCCAATTTAACATTAAATAGTGATAGCTATGATCTCACAGTTAAATCCCTTAAGGATAATTATGCTAACACAGAGCGAACTGTCACATTTTTAGTCCAAAAATTGTTGGACTTACCATCCACAGATAAAACCTCTGACTCACTCCAAGTCTTTAAATTGGAGCTAGAGTCATTACTCTAGGCACTCAGCCTTAAGGTTGAGCTAGATAGCGCGGACTGGTTAACTAAAGTTATTGGAAGATGCAAGTTACCCAGTGAAACACTGGATAAGTTGTATTTCTTACATAACAAATCTTCCCTGACAGTTCAGGAGATTACAGATGATTTACGCTCCATCATAGAATGACAGAGAGTAAATACAGATGGTAAATCAACACCTAAACCTTCGTTAACCACCCACAGTCAATCACAGAGTACTCACAGTACTCCAAATAAACCTAAAACATCTACCTCCACTCCAAGATAGAAACAAGGCAGAGTGGGAACATATGCAGAGGGTCCCTCCAAATCTACAGTAACTGTGTCACCCAAGGCGATGACTAACAAAGGTGATGTAGGTTGGATGATGTGTTTATTCTGTGATGAAGAATATTCTATAAACAACTGCATTATATACCCTGATCGTGCTACATGTGTAAAGCGTCTCAAAAAGTGGCATAAATGCACCAGGTGTGTCAAGTCACATAGCTCCAATACCTGTAGATCTCAAATGTGCACCTGCAATTGGTGCAATAAGGGTCAACACCATACGGCACTGTGCGAGGACTTAACACCAAGGTCTCCCAAACCCCAGATGGAGGAAGAATCTTCCACTACAGTACAGTTTTGTAAAGTACGTCAGGATGTAAGTGTCCTTTCAACAAAAGTCTGATAATAATGCAGCTTTGCCCACTGCCCAACTACTCATTAAAAAACAGAAGGTTCAAGGTCACCACACATCGGTTGTTTGACCAAGGATTCCAAAAGACATTTGTCACAAAGGAAGTGGCAGAAGCCGTAAAACTAAAACCTGTTTGACAGGTGAAATTGAACATATCAGGATTCCTTCCCAAGACAGGACACCAAGTCTACAAAGTGATCCAACTACAAAGTATGCTTAGGCAGTTATGCCCGAATTGTATGGGTCATTGTCGTAGACGAAATCCCATCTGACATACCATAACTTCATCACTGGAAGTACTAAACGGCAGGGAATGAACCCAGTGATGGTTGCATGACAAGGTGAAGAACAGTCATCACTCAAATTCAGAAACATGTTTGAAGATGAGCTTGATCCCCCAGTACATATATTATGGGATCTAGCAACCTTAGACATAGTCCCTGAACAACCTTGTCTGGATGATGACTGGACTCTCAAACAATACCTGGACTCAGTTGTCTACAGGAACAACCAATACTGGGTCAGGTTGCCATGGAAGTTGAATCATCCTCAGCTGCCAGTAAACCATTTCATGACACAAAACCAATTAAGGTCTCAGGTGATGTGCTTAAACAGACAACCTGAGAACCTAAAATTGTACCATGGTATAATGCAATAACAACTCGATAACAACTTAAAGTTGTAACCAATGATGACCATAAGGAAGGACATTATTTGCCGCACCATGCAGTTCTAAAAAATTCAGCCTCTAGCCCACTAAGGATAGTATTTAACTGCAGTGCCAAACCAGGCAGAATAATGTATCATTGAATGACTGCCTTCAAACAGGCCCTAGCCTGACACAAAGGCAGTACCACGTTCTGTTAAAGTTCTGCATAGAGACTTATGAATGCACGGCTGACATCAGTAAGGCATTCCTTAGGGTAGGTCTCCAGGAAGAAGATCATAACTACACAAAGTTACTATGGATCAAGGATCCTAGTGATCCAAACAGTGAATTAATCACATACAGGTTTTCTTCGGTTTTCTTTGGAGCTACTTCGTCACCGTTTCTGCTTCAAGCAAGCTTAGATATGCACTTGAAGACATTTAATAGCCCAAATAAAATTGAAATTAGCAATAACCTGTATGTGGGTAATTTTCAAGGATCAACTAGCAGTGAAGAAAAACTGCTGAACATATACAATAAGGCCAATTGAGAGTTGTTGGGAGCAAATATGCCTCTCCAGTCATGGGCCTCCAATAACACCAATTGAATACCAGTAATATATTAATAATACCAAACAACTGGTCAAAGCAGAATTTCTGAACTACATGGTACCCCAGAAGTTAAAGGTACTAGGTATCGAATGGGATACAACTTCGGATCAGTTGACCATCAAATCGGTGGAACCAGATATCACCATTCTAACAACGAGGAAACTATTATCCCAAGTCAGCAAACCCTTCGACCCCCTTGGAACTATTAAGTCCCATTTTGATAAATGGGAAGTTGAAAATGCAGGAATGCTGGCAAGCGAAGATTGGTGGGATGCTCCACTAACAACTACCTTGCAAGAAAAGTGGAAGGGACTAGTGAAGGATCTAAGTGTCCTAGAGTCTGTCAAGCTCCCTCGGAACACAGTACATCAAAATCAACCAGTTAAGCTACATGTGATGCCTCAGTTCTGTGATGCCTCAGGATAGTTCAACCAGTTCTGTGATGCCTCAGGATAGGCTTATGGCACAGTAGTTTACCTAATCACGAATGATCAAGCAAATTTGCTCTCATCAAAGGCCAGGGTGGCACCATTGAAGAAACAGTCACTGCCACAGCTGGAATTAACTGCCCTTCTGCTAGATGTAAGAATAGCTCATTATCTGGTCAATAACATCCACTTTGAAGAAACAGTGGTATGGTCTGATAATGAGGCAGTACTACAGTGGGTGAAAAATAACAATAGTAAAACTCCTTACATGAGTAATCCCGTTAAGGAAATAGGAGAGTTGCCAGCAGGGTACAAACTGAGATATGTACCCACCAAGGAAAATTCAGCTGACTATCTCCAGAGGCTTTATTTTACAGCAATTAGCTAAAGCAGAGATGTGGTTCAATAGACCTCAGTGGCAAGTCAGCGACCAGTGGCCTAAACAAAAGCCACAAGTCATTGTGACCAATGTCACTGTTCCCACTGAGAAACCAGAACCACCTCGGACTTTGGTAATTGATCCTAATCGGTACTCTGAATTGAACAAACTACTAGATGTCACACAAGTGGTGTTTGATTTCATAAACATAATAGGAATCAAACATCAATTCCCTAGTTCCTTAAAGTACTTTGTCAAACGAGCCCAAACAGAAACATATGGGATGGATCTTGAAAACCTCCCTGATAAAATAATGAATAATCTGGGTCTCTGGTTTGACCCAGACAGTTATAACATAATATGGTGCAGGGCCGCTTACAGTATTCCACCATTGAGCTGGAATAAAAAATCCAATGTTACTCCTTCTTCACCACATAGTAAGCAAGCTAAATATGTTACACATACACAAGCACAACACTCAGCATGGTGGGGTGCTAGATGCCCTCACTGACATAAGACAACAGTTCTGGCTTCTTCATGGTCGCCAGACTGTAAAGACCATAATCAAATCCTGTGTAATCTGCAGGAGGTACGACGCTCGGGTGGGTGTCCTTATCCAGGACCTCCACCACTCCCTAAGGAACGAGTTGTCCACCTTCGTCCCATTAAGACCACTGGTGTAGACTTCACAGGAGTCCCTAACACTAACAGGCACCAAGGACAAAGTCCCGGTGAAGGCGTACATCTGCCTATGATACAGTTTAGTACTGTGTAGTATCTCCGGAGTGTGGCTCAAGGGAGAGACATCACAGAGAACTGTTAACACCTACTAGATACTGTACTGACGTCAGACTTGCTCTAGCTTCCTCAACAGCTGCCATTAACAGGTCCAAGACGAAGCACAAGTGGCAGACCACAGTCTGTCACATGGAGGACCTGCTCTCACACTAACAACCAATCAGCTCAGACCAATATAACTTTTAATTAATCCATTTTAGCTGTAATACTAACCCATTTTACCTATTACATTATTCAATAGTTTATTATAATTATCATTTATTTGATTAACCCCATCAAACTTGTGTACAGGTGAACACGTAGCACGATAACTTTAATATACAGTCCACTTTGTAACAAAACAAGTAAAGTTCAATAAATCAAGAATTAAAAATAAATAAATACCTGCTAGGATATTTTACACCCAGGACCAATAAAGGGGGGGACCTCGGCGCCCCCAGGACCAATAAAGAAGTGGGGGACCACGGCGCCCCCAGGACCAATAAAGGGGGGACCTCGGCGCCCCCAGGACCAATAAAGGGGGGACCTCGGCGCCCACAGGACCAATAAAGGGGGGACCTCGGCGCCCCCATGACCAATAAAGGGGGGACCTCGGCGCCCCCAGGACCAATAAAGGGGGGACCTCGGCGCCCCCAGGACCAATAAAGGGGGGACCTCGGCGCCCCCAGGACCAATAAAGGATGGGGACCTCGGCTCCCCCCAGGACCAATAAAGGGGGGACCTCGGCGCCCCCAGGACCAATAAAGGGGGGACCTCGGCGCCCCCAGGACCAATAAAGGGGGGACCTCGGCGCCCCCAGGACCAATAAAGGAGGGACCTCGGCGCCCCAGGACCAATAAAGGAGGGACCTCGGCGCCCCCAGGACCAATAAAGAGATCCTCGGCTCCCCCAGGACCAATAAAGAGAGATTCTCGGCTCCCCCAGGACCAATAAAGGGTGTCCTCGGCGCTCCCAGGACCAATCAAGGGGGGGACCTCGGCGCCCCCAGGATCAATAAAGGGGGGACCTCGGCGCCCCCAGGACCAATAAAGGGGGGACCTCGGCGCCCCCAGGACCAATAAAGGGGGGACCTCGGCGCCCCCAGGACCAATAAAGGGGGGACCTCGGCGCCCCCAGGATCAATAAAGGAGGGTCCTCGGCTCCCCCAGGATCAATAAAGGGGGGACCTCGGCGACCCCAGGAACAATAAAGGGGGGGACCTCGGCGCCCCCAGGAACAATAAAGGGGGGACCTCGGCGCCCCCAGGATCAATAAAGGGGGGTCCTCGGCGCCCCCAGGAACAATAAAGGAGGGTCCTCGGCCTCCCCAGGATCAATAAAGAGGGGACCTCGGCGCCCCCATGATCAATAAAGGAGGGACGTCGGCGCCCCCAGGATCAATAAAGGGGGGACCTCGGCGCCCCCAGGATCAATAAAGGGGGGACCTCGGCGCCCCCAGGATAATAAAAGTGGACCTGGCGAATCCAGGTTCAATAAAAAGGGGGGGGGGACCTCGGCATCTCCAAGACCAATAAATGGGGGGGGGGGTCCCCGGCGCCCCAATATCAATAAATGGGGGGGGGGGTTCGGCGCCCCATAATCAATAAACAGGAGGGGGCCTCGGCCCCCCATGACCAATAAATGGGGGGCCTCGGCGCCCCCATGACCAATAAATGGGGGGCCTCGGCGCCCCCATGACCAATAAATGGGGGGGGGCCTCGGCGCCCCATGACCAATAAATGGGGGGGGGGGCCTCGGCGCCCCCAAGACCAATAAATGGGGGGGGGGTCCCGGCGCCCCAATATCAATAAATGGGGGGGGGGGTTCGGCGCCCCATAATCAATAAACAGGAGGGGGCCTCGGCCCCCCATGACCAATAAATGGGGGGCCTCGGCGCCCCATGACCAATAAATGGGGGGGGCCTCGGCGCCCCCATGACCAATAAATGGGGGGGGGCCTCGGCGCCCCCATGACTAATAAATGGGGGGGGCCTCGGCGCCCCCATGACCAATAAATGGGGGGGGGCCTCGGCGCCCCCATGACCAATAAATGGGGGGGGGCCTCGGCGCCCCCATGACCAATAAATGGGGGGCGGCCTCGGCGCCCCCATGACCAATAAATGGGGGGCGGCCTCGGCGCCCCCATGACCAATAAATGGGGGGGGGGCCCTCGGCGCCCCCATGACCATTAAATGAGGGGGCCTCGGCGCCCCCATGACCAATAAATGAGGGGGCCTCGGCGCCCCCAAGACTAATAAAGGTATATGATATTTACCCATAATTATATTACGGTAACTGCCTGTCCTGGAATATTTTGTTGAACAAAATCCTCGGGGAAACAAAAGGAAACAGGAACGTACCTTAAGCTGGAGGAGTTGTGTCCCGCGATGAGCTAAAAAAGCCTTACCTGTAAGGTCAGAAAAGTAATTATTAACGTGCCTATTGATGTTCCTGTACACACATTATAATCATATACCACATATATAACATATAAATGGTCACCTCCACCTCGACCACTGTTGGTAGGCAAGAGGCGGAGACGCAGGTCACACTTGAGGCTGATGCTCACCTTCACCTGAAGGTTGGTGTGGGGTCAGACTGGGGGGTGGGTAGTGGGGTCAGACACGGGGGGCCCTCAGCCCTGTCCGTAGTGGGGTCAGACACGGGTGGGGTCAGACACGGGGGTCAGCCCTGTCCGTAGTGGGGTCAGACACGGGGGTCAGCCCTGTCCGTAGTGGGGTCAGACACGGGGGTCAGCCCTGTCCGTAGTAGTGGGGTCAGACACGGGGGTCAGCCCTGTCTAGTAGTGGGGTCAGACACGGTGGGGTCAGACCCAGCCCTGTCCGTAGTGGGGTCAGACACGGGGGGTCAGCGTCAACACTACTCAACACGTGTTCTGCAACACAAACAGAAGCAGTGTTGCCAACATTCACGGATCACTAACAATAAACTAACTATCCAGTACGGGACGAGAAACACTACAAGAACTGCAGCTGCCCAACAAGTCCGTAATTTTACCACAGCAATAAAAGCCAATTTCCAGCATTGTATATCCAGTAAATCCCTACACTTCCCAAGAATGAACATTTAGTCACGTTAACATTAAGGAGCGGCGAGTCCTGCCCTAAGTGTCTGGCGTATTCTCCACAATGTACTTACGGGATTCTCTTATACACGAAACTAATAATAAAAATGCTCGCAGCCGTAAACCGTAACACTATGATTTCCTGGTCCACACACTAGTGCTAAAACCCAGTGTAGTTAAATACCACAACATCCAGTCTTCATAACTCTGTGTGACCGAACACTTGGGAACATTTTCAGATACACTTCAGAGATGTCACAGTCATTGTCACA